CCGAAGGGGGCGGGGGGAGGAGCCACCCCAGGCCCAGGCGGAGGCGGAACTGGGGTGCGGGCCTGGGGGCAGGGCGCCTGCGTGCTCACCGATCAGCCCGACTCCGAGCATTCTCCGCCCCTCCCCAGACCCCGCCCCATCCCCGGAGGCCGCGTCCCCGCCCCACTCGTCCGGACTTCCTCCCAGCGCCTTCATTCACCTTCAGCCCTCGGTTCTTCACACTCAGAAGCCTCGCTCAGGCTCCGCAGCTTCCCACCGTTTATCTAATGCAGATTTCCCCTGCCTTCTCCTCAACCCACTTCCCTCGGGCTTTCCTCATTCTACCTCTGCACTCCGCTAAAAGGAGGAGTCCCGCCCTGGCTGGTTGCTCAGTGGTTAGAGCGTCGGCCTGCGGACTGAGGGACCACAGGTTCCATTCCAGTCAAGGGCACATGCCTGGGTTACTGGCTCAATCCCCAGTAGGGGGCGTGCAGGAGGCAGCCTAATAATGATTCTCATCATGGATGTTTCTATCTCTCCCTCTCCCTTCCTTTCTGAAATCAATTTAAAAAAAATTTTTTTAAGAGGAATCCTGAAGATGGACGAAGGGTCTCCATTCATTCATTCAGCCATCCATCCCAAAACAAAAAAAATAATTGAGAACTTAAAATGGCTTTGGAAATATAGTGTTGACAAGATAGAGCATTCCAGTGGGGAGAAATGGACAATTACCAGTAAAGTACTACTAAAACAGCCCAGAGTCATAAACCCATTGCAATAAAATAATAGTTCAGTGTGTTAGAGTGGCTAGAGATGTATTGCTTTAAAATGGCGTCAAGGAAGGCTTCTCTGAAGAACCACTATTTGAACCGAAATCTGAATGATGGGAAGGAGCCAGACAGTTTGAGTGGCTCAAGGATCCTTCCTTTCGAATCCTCTGCACCTCCATCCCCAAATCACACAAAACGGATTACGGAGGGTCCTTGGTGTCTGCAGGAATACTAAGAAAAGCAAGTAGTTACTGCTCAACTTAATAGTTATTATAAATGTAGCTTCAGCATTTCCCTTTTATTATTTTTTAAATATATTTTTATTGATTTCGGAGAGGAAGGGAGAGGGAGAGAAAGAAACACCAATGAGAGAGAATCATTGATTGGTTGCCTCCCGCGTGCCCCACACTGGGGAGCAAGCCTGCAGAATTGAACCCGGGACCCTCGAGTGCACAGGCCGAACACTGAGCCAAACCAGCTAGGGCTTCCCTTTTCTTCCCTCATCTCCTTCCCCTCCCTACTCCATGCAAGGAACCGAATTTGGTGTTTGTCATTTTACTAAATGTTTTCAACCTTTGATATATGTGTATTTCACTCAATGAACTACTATACTCCTTTAAAAATTTTATACCAGTGCAACAAATAGCTAACATTTTGAGTAGCAGGCACTGTTCTAAGTGTTTTACTTGTATTACTTCCTTAAATCCTCACTATACCCCTATTTATAAATCCTATGATGACCCCAGTTTGCAGATGAGGACACGAAAGGTGGCACCATTTATCCAGGATCACACAGCTTGCAGTGGTGGTGCCAGGATGGGACCCCAGCAGTGGGTCTCTAGCCACACACCAGATCACAGTGCTACACAGCCTCCTGTTCTGTAGCACATTGTAATTGCTTGTACAATGCTGCCCCCCCCCCCAGTTTTTGTTTTTACAGATATACCTAAGTTAATAGAGCTCTGGTTCAATAATTTAAGCTATTATAAAAATATGATTCATTTCATTGTCTGTTAATGGACATTGTTTCCTGTTTTTCACTTTACCATCATTTCTGCTACATTTTGAACAAGTCTCCTTGTTCCACCTGCTCTTGACCTTGAGAAATTCTACATCATGAAAGCTCAAACACCATTTCTTCCCTAAACACAGGCAAAACTAATCTTTCTCTCTTCCAGAATCTGATAGCATTTGGCCGCAGAGCTAGGAATGGAGTATATGTAGGTGTGTATACAGGTCTTCTGTTTCTCCCATTGGACTAAACTCCTGGAGGGCAGCATCCTGAACTATGCACCTTTGGATTCTCTGTGCTTACTACTGTAGTAAGTAGTGTAGTAAGTAGCATGTTTCTCACAGAAAACATGCATGTAATAGGGGCTGAGGAGTGAGACACAGAATCAGAATCAGTTTGGAAGCCAAGAAGACACTTGCACTCAGGTTTCGCTGGCCTTTGTAATTTTCAGCGAGGTTCTACAGATAAATAGATCCTATCGTGGGTCTGCTTTAACAACCTCAACAATACATCAGCCTGCATCGACCTGCACCTCACATACCTGCTTTTGGTGAAACACTTACACATGCACACAAATACGCACGTGCAAGGATCTTCATGCATAGCTGCCAGTAATAGCGAAAGTGAAAATCACCTAAATCTCTATTAATAAAGAAAAAAATTTGATGGAATATTCCATATTACAGTCATTGAATGAGGCAGACATACTTGTATTAACTCACTATGATCCCATATGTATGTAAAACTCTAAACCAATATGTATTTCTTATATTTTAAAAAATCTTTATTGTTGAAAGTATTTCACATGTTCCCGTTTTCCCTCAGTGACCTTTTCTAGCCCATGCCCATCCCCGCCCCACGCTTTCCCCACCCTATTGTCTGTGTCCATGGGTTATGCATATATGCATACAAGTTCTTTGGTTGATCTCTTCCCACCCACTGGCCCTCCCACACCTTCCCTCTGACATGTATTTATATATATACATGATTGGAGACATGCACACCCAGCTGCTGACAATGGTTACCTCAGAGGAAGGGTGTGAGGGAACAATGTGAAGGAAGGTTTGGGGTTGTGCTCCTGTGTGAAGGTGGAGTGAAGGTACAGTGACCACCATACTGTAAAGGTGTCTTAAGACCAAAAAACAAGCAGGCAAATTCACTGAATAGAACAGAATTTATTGTAAGGTAATTTACTTATAGGGAAGATTGAGTCGGGATGGAAAAGACGACTCAGTAGTCTACACAGATTACTCTCCCTGCTCTACAGTTGTTACAGTAGATGTTTTCTCGTACAGCTGAACTACCAATGATGGACACGGCGAAGGGACAAAGAATGTAGCTTGAGCCAGGAACCATACCTCCTGGCGGTCTTATGATGGATAATTGCTTACAATCGATGCCAGTACTTCATTTGATACTTATCTCGGTTGCTATGCCATTCTGGCCGTTTACTGACAGGAATCTTGGTTACAGGATACAGCTAATCATTAACTATGAGGCTCTGGTGCTGGCTGAGACTCAGCATGGAAAGCAGGGGGAAATTAGAGGGCACACAAAGATGGGGTCAGCTTTGTTTACATCAACATCTATATAGTGCCCCAAACATTATGAACTATATAAATAAAATGCCTATCTATTTAGAAATGTATAATATAAATGTCTATATCTACAAATACGTATACGTGTATATATTTAATACATTATGCATAATAAATGTACTATATGTAAGGTCCATAACTGTAAAAAATGTCATTGAAAATATTGAAGATAATAACATTCTAACCGATGCTAATAAAATGGTTTTCTCTAGGTAGGTAAGACTTCAGCAGTTTTTTCTCCTCCTTTTATTTTTATTTCATAATTTTTTTTTTCTGGGGCAGAGGCGTTATACAGTATATTCTCAGGCCCTCCCCTTCTGTTCCCATCAGGAACCAAGGCCGAGAAGGAAGATGAGGTGGGAGAGGGGAGAGTGTAACAGCACCCCTCCCAGGCAGGACCCAGTTAGTTGGTTAGTCGGAGAACAGGCTGGTGAAAGACTTCCTCAGGTTGAGGATGGTTTTGGCCATGGCCTTGTCTTTGCTGGTGGTCCCACGCTGGGAAGCGTCCCATGTGTTGAGGCTGTTTGTTAGTCAGGGAAGCCATTCCTGGACCTGAGGGAGAGCTGTTTTCAGGGGAGGACTATGCTTACAAATACACACGAAGCTCCTCGTGGGAGCTTCCTCCCTTCACCTCCGTGGGAGCCCTGGGCAGGGCTGTGACTTCCTCCTGCACAGCTGGAGGAGAGCAGCAGGGCTCCCACACATCTCCTGCCCACTGTGGGTCCAGGGAGTGGCATGGACACGAGGCCTGGAGGACTACCCGCTCCCGCGGTCTCCTGGTCACCAGCAGCTAGTCCTCCAGGCAATGTGCTTCCCATCAGCTTTATTTCATAATTTTAAAAAATACCGTATGGATTGCTTCCAAGAGTTCAAATTTTAAAATCTCTGAAATTGGGATGCACCTTACAATTACAATTGGGAGTGTTCTTTTTTTCTTAGTGGTACACAAAATGACATGTTCAATCATTGATGGCATTTCTAGATTTGATGAAACATGGTAAACAGAAAGAAATGAGAAAATATGGCTGGGCTGGTGTGGCTCAGTGGTTGAGCATTGACCCATGAAGGAAGAGGTCAACAGTTCCATTACTGCAGATTGGATTGATTGTGTGTGGGGGGTGTGTGTGTGTGTGTGCAGGAGACAGCCGATTGATGGTCCTCTCTTTTTTTGGGGGGGTCCTCTCTTACCCATGTTTCTATCTCTCTATCCCTCTTTCTTCCTCTCTCTCTAAAAATCATTAAAAACACTTTTTTAAAGAGAAAATATGTTAAATTTATGTACCCCAAATCTCCGATCTTTCCCTGTTCACCAAGGTAATTTGCTGAATCTTACAGACATCTAGCCCAAAATATGTAGTATCATTTTGGCTGGGAGAATCATTTCCCATTAACTTAGCAAGGCTGTAGAATCAGTAAAACTAGATCTCCCTTGCTCAGAGTGAAGCATTTGCACAACAGGCTGTGACATGGGCTCAAGGGTGGGGAGATGGATACAGATATAACCATAGCAGAGTTCTTGCCTGTGACTGCCTGACAATCAGGTGGGAACACAGAAAGGGGGCGGGAAGGCATGACCAGAGATCTTGCTTCTGGGATTTCAGACCTAGAGATCCATACTTAAGGAGATATACTTGAGGAGAGAAAACGAGGTGGAGCAGGATGAAAGTGTGCTAGGTGAACTGCCTCTCCCTGCCCCGGTGGGGCTGTTCATGCTGTGTCTTCAGCAGTCCCTGACCCTAAGTATTTCCTCAA